TCTCTACAGCAGTCACTGTGCTCAAGAACACTTTGGCAAGACCAGCAAGTTCTTCTTGGTGTCCTAAGTGAAGCACTGGGTAGGCAGCAACAGGAATTTTGTCCCAGAGAAATGTGCAACCCCAGCCTAGCAGTTATCTAGAGCCAACTATCTCTGGGCATGAATTCTACTGCAGCAGCCACAGCAGCTCCAGTGTTGCATAAGCTCCACACTCAGTTCTCCATCCTCTCCCAGGTCAGGGGAAGGCAGATGGAATCATCCTGTGCACAGAAAGGCTTTCCTGACCAGCAGAGATTCCTAGAAAGATGCATTTCCAAAATTCACCATCCTCCAAGACTCCAGCTGGACCACCCAGAGTAAATGTGGGGTGGGATTTCCACAAGTCCTCAGCAGTGACAGAACTGTCCTCAGCCAGCAAACCCCACAAAGTAACTCCTCAAGTGCCAGCACCTCATCAGTCTTAGTGCAAGCAAGAGAAAACTTGGATTTCTCCTTAAAAAACACTCAGACCTGGTCCTAGCAAAGCTGGCACTTGATTCAGCATCACCCTCCTCACGTTCAACAGCAAAGCTCTGCATGTTCTCAAGACTCCACACACTTAAATGAGCTTAAAACCAGGCTCCAATCATCAATCACTTTGGCTGGGCATTTTCTAAGAGGTCACCATATAAGAAATACTATGCAGGGTCCACTCATTTCTCTGCCCATCTTGAGAAGAACACACAGCCACCACTTCAGCAGCTTCTGCCCACTTCCAAGTGTGCACAGGAAGGTATTTCTGAATTTGGAGTTTAGCTTGTGCAAACAATCTCCACATGCACTGAAAATTTCTGATGATCCAAGCTGAAGCATTTCCCTAACAATTCTCCACTACAAGTGCAAAGGGACGAGCTGGAATTTATGAGGGCTTTTTCTCAGTCCCTTTCTGAATAAAAGCAGTGAAAAAGCAGGGCAGGAAGGGGCTGGGTGAGTCTGGATGGGATTGCACCCCACCAACCATGGCACAGGGTTTGGGGTTTTCTGGGCTGTGAGGAGCAGTGAACGACCCAGCCCATGTCAAACCCCAGAAGAGAAAATGCAGGAACACATTTACAGCAATCACCACCTTGCCTTCTCCATCTGGACAGGTCAAAGCCCTTCATGCTTGCTAAGTGCAGAAATCTTCCTGGGATCAAACACATCCTGTAGCAAGCAGGGAACTGAAACTCTGCTGAGTCCCCAGGCAGGAGGGCCAGCAGTGCTGTCTATGCAAACAGACCTCTGAGATGAATCCAGAGCAAAACTGGCACTGATCTTGTCCAAAACCCAACATCATCCCAGGCTCCAGAAGCAAAATCAGTCTGTTGGGCTCTAAACACTGCTAAGGAACATGGTTTACTTCAGAACAAAGAAATACTTTCCCACCAATAAAATGCATTGCCAGTTGGTCTCTTCTAGTTTCTTCTAAACCTTCCCTGTGCTTGTGTACAAGACAAACTCGTTACAAAACCTCTAACAAACTTCAATTTTAAAATGAGACCAAGTCTTTTAAACAAATGGCATTTCCAGCTCGGGCTCTATTTTTAAACACAGTATAGACCTCATGCCACTAATTCACTTTTTTTTTTTTTTCCTGGAAGCTGAGCCATTTTGAGTCAAGTCCCATAATTTAAAATTTCATTAAAAATGCAAAGAGCTTTAGGACTGCAAACAGCATAAAGCAGTAAGAGATTCTAAGGAGAGATTCTAAGGAGCTTCCTGCAGCAATTTCAGCATTCCCTGCCTTTCATTCCACGAGACAAAGGACGTGTGAGACGTGTAAACTGCTCCCAACATCTCCTCTCGCCTGAATGTTGCTGCAGTTTGTACCACTATGTAGGTCACGAGCTCCACATGCTTCAGTCGAGCCCTAGGCTCAGCTTAGCTGCCCGTTTGCACCCCTGTCAGAAGGCCTGGGGACACCAGACTAAGTTTAACCCGAGCTAGGACAGCCACAAGAAGCAGTTACTGATTTTTTCCCACTTGCTAAATTCACACACAGAGCTCTTAAGGCACGGGCAAGCCATGCACTGCTGCACGGATGTGTTTTGTCTCTGCTGTTCCCTGCAGTAAAGGGGGCATCATCAAACTGCACAATTTCAGAAATATCACATAGAGTGCCTCAGAAAACATTCTGGTGCTTGCAGCATCAAGAAATGCAACCACCAGAGAAGAAAGACGTGAATCCAAACTTTCCTTCTCACCCGTGGGCACCAAAAAGTATCCAGTAGTGCAGAAATTAATTAAAACCCAAATAAACCAGGAAGAAATATCTGAAGCATTACACAGCTGATTTAATGTCTCCACCTTTAAAACCCTTTCTTCTTCTAAATTCAGAATCTTTTTTCCAAGATGTGCATAAAGACTGCTCAGAGAGAACATCTGATTAGATGACAAGCAGCAGCAGTGTGGTTTGTAAGGACACACAGGCCCATTTTCACACTCTGCACCGATTTTGGGAAGATGCTGTCTGCCTTTGCTGAAATCCCACATCACACACACAAGGATTCTTAACCAGCTCCTCAGGAACTGAGGATTCCAAGCACAACGTCCTGTCCTGCACATCCATCAAGATCACTTTTAAAAGGATCTGACACGGCCCAAGCAAGGATTTTGGCACTCCAGCACCTCACCCAGCCTAACTCTGGCACCCAGGAGCTCCTGCAAGGCCTTTGGATGATGTCCATGCCCAAAAATCTCTGATCACAGGGGACACTCTGTGAGAGGGGCAGGGGAAAGGGCAGAGCACAGAGCACAGAACACAGACACCTCACCTGGTCTCACTGCAGCTCCTTTCACTCCCCAGCTCCCAAAGGCAGGTGAGCAGCAGCTGCTGAGTGCTCTGAGCTGCAGGAGGAACCCAGAGCTCCATTTCCCACATGCCCAACTCCTGGCTGCCCTTCCCTTCCCTTCCCTTCTGGCTGGACAGAGGCAGCTACCCCGAACTGAGCAGCCATCTCAACACCTGGTGCTCCTGCCATGCCTTCAACAGCTCACTGGGGCTTCAGGTTTTCTATTTTTTCCCCTTCATATCACAAGGTTGGAGAGCTAAATCCATGGCCACGTGTGTAAGGAATACAAAGCTACCAGGCTATTATTGCCAGCTACCAGGAATGGTGAGCAACAATACCATGGGAGCCCTGCACAAAGTGATGAAAAAAATTCAACTTTCACTTCTGCAGCAATATCAGCCTTCATGCAAAGCCACTGCACAGAAGTCTTCATTCATTAATTATCTGTTCAAAATGTGCAGCTACCAAAAAACCCCACTTCTTTCTAGAATATTATTTCATCACTAAAGAAACCATCCCATCTTTCCCACAATTTTCATGGCAGAACTGCAGCCAGCTGCTCCTTTTAGAAACACCAGCCTAAGCCCAGTGTAACAGCCTCTTTTAACACCGAATTCTAAGAATAAAAATTCAAAATAAGCAATCATCATTTGACACATCATTAGGAAATCTTGAGCAAGAAAGTCGAGGTTCAGCATTCACTAATTTTCTTGCTGAGAGCATATGACCAGTTAAAAAGATGTCTTTGGGTCAAAAATATCTCTCCTTACCAAGGGCACATCTGGCCAAAGATGCCTGAAACACCAAACTCCTCAACTGTGAAGGCAAAACCTTTTGGTCTTGTCATCATTTAACTCTTTCCATAAAGCCAACAAAATCACCAAGTGCAAGCACCTAAAAATCCAGGCCTAAAAGTATTTTTATCACAAACATAATGCAGGAATAATGAACCAGAACTGCTAGGTTTTTAACTAAAAGCTAAGCAGCCACTTGCTAAAGTCCAGAACCTTTCAGGTTGTTTTAAAGCCATCGAAATTTTAGGCCAAGGCTCAATGCCAAAGCAAGAGCTCTGTACTAGCTACAGCTTTTATCAGCTTTGATCCTGCTCAAAAACTGGATTTATTTGGAGCACTTGCTCAGACCTGAATGTAATTGCTCCAAAACCCAATAAATTTCCACCTAATCCCGTTGCAGAACAGAAACATCTCTCCACAGGGAGAAGTCCAGCTCTGAGCACTACTGTCAATATTCATTTTCCCAACTTCTAAGCGAAGTTCTTGCCCCAAAACAGCACCAATGTTTCCCCACCACGGAACAAGACCCTGCCCCTACCCACCATGAGCCCTGCAGGGCATTCCAAGCTAAACATCTGCCCGACGCCGCTCCAACACATCTGTTCCAAAGGCCACCAAAACTACACACCGGCTTTTGCCTCATTAGCCGTAATTGCACTCTAATTACTTATTCCAGAATAAGTATTCTATACAATCCTCCTCGATGAGACCCGACGCGCTCTCGTTTGTGACACATCCTCGTGCAGCTCACCGGGAAAAAAAAATGGTGGGTTTTGGCTGTTTTGGTGGCTTGTTTTGGTTTTTTTAATTTGGAAGGAGCTATTGCCACCTCTTGTCATGGAGAGCCTCGCTGCATCCTAAGGTACAGCTCTGCCTTAGCGGAGGGCTGGAAATCAGGGCAGAGGACACAGCCTTCCACTGAAGCAACCCGAGGAAAGCCACAGGCCTGCCACGATTATAATCGCGATACACGGCGAGTTACTAAAGTTAAAAAAAATATATATCTATAAAGCGCTGGGCACGCAAATCACGGCGGGTCGGGCGCATTTGCTGCGGGAGCCCAAAAACCAAAGGAGCCGGAGATAAGCGGCAGCTCCGGAGCGGCCGGGGGGCTCCGGGGCCGGGGGGAGGGAGGGCACGGCCCCTCGGCGGCTCGGGGGGGGCCGCGGGCCGCCAGGGCCGGCAAGGAGCGCTGGCGTTAATCCTGGAGCTCCCGTTAATCTGCCGGGCCCGGACAAAAGGCGGCCGAGGCGGCGGCAGCGGCGGCGGGGGAGGGCGCGGCGGCCCGGGCGAGCCCCGGCGGGCGGCGGAGCGGCCGGGGGCAGCGCGTTAGGTAACGCCGCGCGGGTCTGATGCAATCGCGGGACGTGCGGGAGCAGGAGCGGGAGGAGGATACAGGTCAGGTCCAGGTCGAAGCCATCCTCCTGGTATCGCCTTTTGTTCCTGCTGACGATCTCTTTGATGATGGCGGTCATGTCTGGCAGCCGGGGGCCGCTCCGGGGCAGCGCGCAGGGCCCGGGCGGCGGCCGCGAGGCACCACCGGGCGGCCCCGGGCGTTGATGCTCCGGCGGCTCAGCCCCGGGCGGGCCCGGCTCCCGGCGGCGGCACCGGCTGCCGCTCCCTCCTCCTCCTCCTTCTCCTCCTCCTCCTCCGAGCGCGTCGGGAGCCGCGCCGAGCCCCTGCGGGCGGTGCCGCCGCCGCCGCCGTGTTTGGGGCGAGCGCGGCGGCGGCGGGGGGAGCAGCTCTGCGGCGCTCCGGGCCCCGGCAATGGTGACAGCGGCGCGGGGCGCGCCCCCGGCCCGGCCCCGCTCCGCTCCCCGCCCCGGGGGCCGGGCGGTCGCTCCCTCAGCTCTTCCCGGCGGCGGCTCCTCAGGGCGGCACGGCCGCGCTCATCCCCCGGCCCGCAGCGCTCGCCGGCGCGGGGCGCCCATCATGGCCGCGGCTTCCGAGAGGGACGGCGGGCGGCGCCGCCACGCCCACGCGACGCATCCGCCAACACACAAAGTAGTCCCTCCCACCCCGCCACAGGAGAAGCGGAAAAGCGGCGCACCGGGGGCACCGGCGGGACGGATGGCGCTGCACGCACCGTCCGTACCCCTCTGCCCGCCGGTTCCCCTCGCCCCACAGAGGGGGTGGGGGAGGGGGGGGAGCGGCGAGCGGAGGGATACGGCGGTACAGTGAGGCAGCGCGGTGCTCCGTTCGGTCACGTGGGCACTGGCGGCGGCGCCTCCCCCGCGGGCGGAAGTGGCCGTGAGGGGCCCGCGCGGGCCGGGGGCCTCCCAGCCCCTCAGAGCCCCCGAGCCCCTCGGAGCCCCGGCACTGCCGCTCGTCCGCCTCTTCTCCTTCCTCAGCCCACCTGGGCGGGAGGAAGGCGAGGGGAAGAAAGGGCTCCGGGGAAGGGAACGATGAGGGGGGGGGGTTAGCCCGGCGTCTTGAGGGGGTTCGGCGTCCGCCCCTCACGCCCCCCGGGGTTGGCGTGGAGCGGAGCAGCCGCGGTGAGCGAGCGCCTGTCGCCCCCTGCAGCCACCGGGGCACGGAGGGAAGGGGGCTCTGGGCCACCTGCTGCCCTCGAAAGGGCAGAATCATTTGGCTTGGAAAATCCCTGCCAGCCCATGGACTCCCAGCTGTGCCCAGTGCCCACCTTGTCCCAGCCCAGAGCACTGAGTGCCACCTCCAGCCCTTGCTGGGACACCTCCAAAGCTCCCTGGGCAGCCCCTGCCAAGGCCTGAGCACCCTTTCCATGCAGAAATTGCTGCTGATGTCCTCGGGGTAGCCCAGCTGGAGGACAGGGACATGCCAGTCCCCCAGGTCAGGCTGGTCCAGCAGCCCGTGGGATTTTCATGGAGTTTTCTGTCCATTCTCCTTCCCACACTGATCACATTTACCCTGGCAGGGAAGAACACCCTGTCTATAAATCTCTAAATCAGTCTTTATTTAAAACATTAGGGGATAAACCCCATTGTACAAGGCTCTTTACATTCTGAGCTGAGAACTGTAACTTTTTGGGAATTGAATGTTTTGCAGGAAATTTAATGTTTTGAGCCCTTAAATCACCTTTAAGGGCTCAAAATAGAGTGGAACATCAGGCAGAGGGATTTCCCAGGCTGCTGCAGCCTCCAGTCCTTGCAAATGCTCTATGATATAATTCCTTTCAGGAACGTATCAAATTGCACCTTGAGATGTTTTGCCACCATTATTCCCACTGCAAAGCTGTTCCCAGAACCTCCTCGTGCTTTTCAGGCTAAATATATTTGGGGCAGATCTGCATCCACTTATCCTTGTGCCAGCCCTGGCCTTGAGGAGCACTTTGTGGGCACAGAGGTCCCTGTGAGCCCCCTCAATTTCCACATTCCCCCTTTCCTCCAGCTGCAAACCCCAAAATTGGTAACGTGGAAGTGCCCAAGGCCAGATTGGAGCAATGTGGGATGGAGTGGAAGGTGGCACGGGGTGGAATGAGCTGGATTGAGGTTCCCAGCCATCCCAACTCGTCCTGTGTCTGAGTTTTAACTTGTGCTCCCACCTCCTGCATCTGTTTTTGGTGTTCCAACATGCCAAGGGCTTGGGGACAGAGCTGCCACCACCATTTTCCCCCCAGTATAACCCCGTGGCTCCCAGTACATCCCATTTTCCAGCCCCAGCCCATTCCACTGGAGCTGTGAATGGAAAGCCCACATTAACCCTGGGAAGGAAATCAGTCACAACCCTGAGCCCAATCCCTCAATATCTGGATAAATTGGAGCACTACCCCTCAATATCTGGATAAATTGGAGCACAACCCCTCAATATCTGGATAAATTGGAGCACTACCCCTCAATATCTGGATAAATTGCAGCCCAATCCAATCCTGGCCACCACCCTGAAAATTTTCACTTCCCCACATCTTTTAAAAGTATTTTTGGATGGGATTTCTTTCAGAGGTTGCCACCACAGCAGTGACAAAATGTAGATTTCAAGCTGCTTTTCCTCCTGTGTGTGTGTGTGTTTGCATTTCTCCTTAATTGCACCAAAACAGATGTCACTTTTTTCCCAGGAGTGGGAAGAAAACCAGAAGGGTCCTAAATATTTTTTTTCCAGGAATGAATGAGCACAATGGTCCAGATGAGCTGAAAAACAAAAACCTCCAGGAAATTACAATCTTTTTATATCATCAAAGCCTGCAGGAGCAGCATGAAAGGGAAGGACTTGCCTGAAGAAATTCCTGCTGCTGTCCCACCTGAGCCTCCCCTGGCACAGCCTGAGGCCATTTCCTCTGTCCCGCCGCTGGAAAACCTTGGCTGGAGAGCAGAAGGGCTGGAGAGAAATTGCCAAAACTCTGGGTTAATTACAGCTATTAGATTTTGTCATTTCCATCTTTTTCCTGGACATTCTTCTCTCACTATGTGTATGTAAATATGTGAGGTACGTTTTATATCGGTTATGTAGACAGAAATTATGTATCTATATATATAAAATATGTGTATATACGCATGTCTTATATTTTATGTCTACATAAATTATATATCTAGCTATATAAAATATGTGCATATATGCATGTTTTATATTTTACATGTCTTGTTTTAGATTATAATTTTGTACTTAACGCGTTGTACGTGTGTTGAACGTGAATTGGATGTGTTAGCGGGGCTCGAGCGCAGTTCCCGCTGTCGTTAGGCGGTTGTAGGCGGGAGCCGCGGCCCGGGGGGTGCCGGTGGAGCCGCTCGCTTCGGCTGCGGCCGCTCCCGGTCGCTCCGGGCCCTTCCCGGCCCTTCCCGGCCGGGGCTGCCCCGCATCCGGTGGGCGGAACCTTCGCGCGGGCCGCCACCGCCCGGAACCTTTGGGCGGGCCAGCGGGCGCCGCACGGACGGAGGAAGCGCCGGACGCGCCGCCGCCGCTGCCGGGCCCTCGGTGCCGCCGCCGGTTTTTGCTCCGCTTCTCCCTCCCGCTCCTCCTCCTCCTCGCCTTCCTCCTTCTCCTCCTCCTCCTGCTGCCGCTCGGCCCGCCCCGTGTCCCGGAGAGCCGCCGCACGGTGAGTGACCCGGCGGGACAGCGGCCCCGGCCGCGCCGCACCTGCCGGGCGGCGGGAAGGTCACGGGCGGCGCGGCCCGGCCCTGGCCGGGGCAGCCGTGACGGGGCTGCCCGGCACCGGGGGGGATCCCCGCGCTGCAGCGGGCCCTGCGGGGCTGCCCGGCTTTCCCGGCAGTGTGCCGTCGGAGCGGAACGGAAACCAGCGCCGCTGCCGCTTTTGGTTTCCCTTTTGCGCCTGAACGGGGAGCGTGGAGCCGCTGCGGGCCCCGAGTGAGGAGCCCTCGCCTCAGGGGAGACAAACGCTGAGTTCCGTCGGGTTTTAGCGTTTGTGTGGGGTTGGGGCTTCGCTCAGCGAGGTTCTGCTTCAGTTCCTCTCGTGTTCAAGCTTTTCCTTTCGGTTGGCGCTCAGGGCATGGGTTGCATAAGAAGGTGGTTCCTGCACAGGGTTTTGGGGGAGGTTTTCTCCTTGCTCAGTGACTACAGAGCCCTTTTATTTGAATAAATCAGGCTGACGAGGACACGCAGAATCCCCTAGCTCTGGAGTACTTTCTCAGATCCTTTAGCAGGGATCCAGGGATAATTTGGCTGCAGGGTGCCCTGGGAGGGCGATCCAGGGATAATTTGGCTGTGGGTGCTGCAGGGTGCCCTGGGGAGGGGCTGCCAGGAATAACTTGGCTGTGGATGCCCTGGGGAGGGGGATCCAGGGATAATTTGGCTGCAGGGTGCCCTGGGAGGGGGATCCAGGTTAATTTGGCTGTGGGTGCTCCAGCGTTGCCCTGGCTGCCAGCTTGGTTTGGAGAGTGGCCAGGGAGTGGCAGGAGCTGCCAAAGGAGTTGCTGCTGGTTTTGCCCTTGCTGAAGGAAAATGGGGCAGTGCCCAAGGAGTGATTTGGGGATTCTCAAGCAGATCCCCCCCAGCAGCTGAGGAAGAAGTTGACCCTGATTTTATAAATAATTTTCCTGGTGTTTCAGCAAAGTTCTTTCCTCTGTGCCCTTTGTTGCCAGGATTGAGGGTGCTGTGCTCTCTGGCCTTGGCTCCTGCAGCAGTCAGGCTTTTCCCTGGATAGCTGTGTGCCACATCCAGCATTTTCAGGTTTCCAGGGATATTAATAACTCCCCATACATCCTGCCAGGTGCAGGCTCCAGCTCTTAACCTCCTTTTAATCAAATGGGAATTGCTGATTGCTCCTTAATGTGGCAGCTGGGTGCCTTTCCTGTCAACTTCCTCTCAGGGAAGAAACCTCTCTGCTTAAATCCTGGAGTTCCCTGGCTCCAGCATTCAGCACTCAGGGTCAGCAGCACTCCCAAAATGTCAGTCTCAGTGGGAATGTCACCTTTGTGCCCACTGTGAGCATAGAATGCCAGGGTGGTTTGGGTTGGAAGGGACCTGGGAGCTCATCCATGGGCAGGGACACCTTCCACTGTCCCAGGCTGCTCCAGCCTGGCCTTGGGCACTGCCAGGGATGCAGGGGCAGCCCCAGCTGCTCTGGGCACCCTGTGCCAGGGCCTGCCCACCCTGCCAGGGAACAATTCCTCCCCAGAATCCCATACTCCAGTGGTGGGAGCCATCCCCCCTTGTCTTCTCTCTCCATTCACTTATCCCAGCTCCCTACAAAACACCTTTTATCAAACAACATTCCAACCCCATGCAGGTGGTTTTTTTCAGCTTTGATTTTCATTTCCTTGCCTCTCTGTGCTTCCCTTTTCCAGGGGCAGTCACAGCTTCTCTGGAAATCCATTCCAGGGCCTGCCCACCATGAGGAACAATTCCTTCCCAATGTCCCATCCTCTGGCTGTGGGAGCCATTCTCCCTTGTCCTGTCCCTCCATTCACTTATCCCAACCCCCTTTAAAACACCTTTTATCAAAC